ACCTACCAATGAATAAATGTAATATTATAGCAGGTTTAAAATCAATTTCATTGGGAAATTGCACTTCTTCGAAACCCAAAAAAAGGAACAAGAAGAAGCTGCTTTTAGCCAGTTTCTTCTCTGCTCCCGGTGCTATTATCACATGCTAAACAGCTAAAGTACAAGTTTTCACACTATTCAGATATCATCTCAATTATTAATTTCACTATCTATCTGAAAGAAACGACGCCGATGTCCCGATATTATTATTTTAGCGTTTTCTAGTCGTCTTCTTCCTAATCATACCATCTTTTTTTTTCTTTCAACATTAAAGGCAAAAGGAACCATGAGCAGAACCAAGATTTCTTGCGTTTTCATTGGATCGGGCCTGAAAAAACACTATTATCTATCTGGGTATGAATAATTTTATTATCCATTTATGATCTTACAAGAAAATTCAGTTTAAAAATGCAGGATTTTAGCTTAGGTTGCAAACATAAATTTATTCCACTTTTTTCTCGCTGTTCAAAATGGTGCATCACAGACTCACGTCACAAATTAACACCAATTATTTTCGCATTTAATTGGACAGATAACTTTTAAATTCTTATTATTTGAGGCAGAAGAAATATGAGATTGTTCACGACATACCAATCATTTTCACAATAATTTTAAAAATTCTGGTAGATATGATGTTAGACTATAATTATTATTTTAATAAGGGAATTTATTACTATTGATACATAAAAAAAATCTACTCCATCTATATCAAATATGGGAGCTTGAGAGTGACCTTTATGAGACTATGAGTGAGGGGTTATTTTTACGCAACGGAACAATGAGGCTTGAGTATTGTGATATTATAGACGACGTTTAGACTATCAATTATTTGAGTGATTGAGTGTGAATGAAGTTGAAGTAACAATGGAGGGAGAAGATCAAAACCAAGCGACTAGGTTCAAATTATGTAAGTGGAAAAATCATAATATAAATACATTATCCGAAGTGTCTTTTGCAAGCAAAAAGTCTTCCTCTCTGTCTACCATTTTTTTTCGCCTTTTTTTCATGCATTCTTAGGACAGAATACTTTGTTCTGCGAAGCAGATTAATTACTTCGGGCTCAAGGACTTAATTACATAAAGGATCGATCAATCCTTAGTGTAACAGTTGGTGGGTAGGGACTTAATGTAGTGCAGGTAGCCCAGTGAGGCAAAATCATGTTAAGATCATAGTTATTAAAAGACTGGAGAGTTGTTAAGTGCAAAGATTATGAAACAATGCATGATTAGTCGATAGCTAAATTAGTTAGTCAAGTTATGGTTCTTAATTACCTGTGCGATCGATCTGTAGGCCGTTTGACTAAGCAGATAGAGATAAGTTGCTGCCTGATAAACGTTGTACAAAATATGTTCAAAAACTATCGGAAACGGGGTTTGATTCCGGTATATGAAAAATTAATAGACTAATTAACAAAGTGTCTGCAGAGGACACGAGTCTCATCTTCCATCGAACTTTTCAATTGTATTGATAATGATAATGATGTACAAACTCCCAGTAAAGAATTTATAAGCATCTTATAACAATAAGTGTGGCGAGAATGAAATTAGACAAATACTTTCGTTCATTATATATCTCTTTCTTTTAAACGAGAACGCTGTGTATTGTGCACCATTTTTGGTCAACTATATTTGCCTGCTAAGGCAAAAAAGAGAAATTCTTATATTCCAAATAGGAAAAAGGACAAAATCACCCCCGAGTTATGTCCAAAGGACAAATTGCTCCCCAATATTTATTATTAGGACAATAACTCCCTTACCCGCCAGTTTAAAAGATAATTTGCCCTCTGCATTTGCAAATCTTAGTGTGAAAAGATATAAATACCCTGAAATCTAAAAAGAATTTTTTTTACACTAAACCTATCTTCTAACCAACTCGTTTATTTTTTAAAAATGATAAATTCTATTATCCGCTATTTTAAATTCGTCGTTGACTCCGTTTTGATGCATTATTTCTCTCTATCACTGCCGTATCAATAAAAAGAAACCCGGGATTGATAATTTAATCTATCAAGACCTTAAATTTTATTTACACTGCCGCCTCAATAAAAATTAACCCGAGATTGATAATTTATGATTTTGATAGATTAAATTCTCAATCTCGGATTTATAGAATTTATGGTTTTGATAGATTAAATTCTCAATTTCGGATTTATTTTTATTGAAGCGGCAGTGATAGAGAGAAATAATGCATATAAATAAAATTTATGATTTTTATAGATTAAATTCTCAATCTCGGGTTTATTTTTATTGAGACAGTAGTGTAAATAAAATTTATGATTTTGATAGATTAAATTCTCAATTTCAAATTTTTTTTTCTTGAGGCAGTAGTGATAAGGAGAAATAATGCATCAAAACAGAGTTAGCGGCGGATTCAAAATGGTGGTAATAGAATTTATAATTTTTAAAAAATAGACGTGTTGGTTGGAAGGCAAGCTTGGTGTAAAAAAAATTCTTTTTAGATTTAAGGATATTTTTGTCATTTTACACTAAGATTTGCTAATGCATGGGACAAATTGTCCTTTAACCTGGCGGTAGGGAGATTATTGTCCTTATAACAAATGTCGCAGGGTGATTTGTCCTTTGAACATAGGGGATTTTTGCCCTTTTCCCTTCCAAATAAACAGGAAAAAAAAAATTCTTCTCTCTTACTACCTTAAATCTTAACTAGATGCTTGCTCCGGGCGAATGCTCGGGGTGCTGCCTGTATTTTTAAATCGATTTAAATAAAAAATACGAATCATTCTTAAAAGAATAAAAAAATCGAGGAATAAAAAATCGATTGAAACGACAGAAAGTGAGTTATTATACATAAATCTATGTCCAGATTTATAACATTTAATTACAATAGTTACATTATGCCCGGGTTTACATAAATCATAAACCAATATCTACAACAGAAGAATAAAAAAAAATCATCCTTAAAAAATCAAATTTCTTCATGACAGCTTATTTTGTCTTTGTTGTAGAAAGAGATGGATTGATAAGTGATATCAGATTTTAAGTAATTGATGCCCGGGTGTGAGAGAGGAGCGGAATGGAAGAGATTCTTTGAAATTGGGGATTGGGAAGACATTATTGTGTTTCACTTGATTTAAGGGGATTTCCTTACATTTGATTTTATTAATTAAATATTGTTGTTTTAAAAGATTAGTATATACCTATAATTAAGAGATTTTTATGTAGTTATAATTAAGGGATTTATGTATTTATCTATTCCATCTTTTTTTTTCTGATTAGTTAGAGTGCCACTTGTCAAAAATGATTTTGTACTGAAAATGACTTTTGACAGGAAAATTTTCATTGTAGTGCCGACACATGTTATTTTTGTTTGCTGCTTTAATTAATTACTATATATGATGGTTAGTGAAATTAATGTAACGAGCGATGAACTTTTCTCGTGGTGACGCTGTCTTAAAGACTCAGCCACCCCTCGAAAAAAAGGGTTGTCCCTCAAGATCGACTAGAGGCACCCCCTTCCCCCTAGACTCTATCATTCCTATTTGATCATCCATGAACAGCCGCACCAAAGCCTATATATCACTCTTATGAATTATAAATGTCGTGTCCCATCCCATCCCTACCCTTTAATGTTGACTGACTTTTTGGCAATGTGAAGAAGAACACTCAAGGCGTGTAGAAGGACGTTCTCAACTTTGAAACCAGATACAATGAAGTTTGCTTCTTTTGGCAATTCTTATAATTCTTCCGATTTTGGACAAACGTTTGAACGATGGATACCGAGTCCAAACAAGAGCATGTGAGTTTCTTCCAACATCTCACGAGAAGTCAGTCACTTGGAAAAAAGAAAACACTGCTTTTCGTGTGCCATTTTTATTTTTTTCTACTTATCTTCTCCGATCGATTCCATACATATACGACATATTCTACATTCCCATTTACTCGTAGGAAACCTCTTCATTTCACTTCTATCTCCCGTTACTTTAAGTTATCTAGCGTTAAATGGAGGTTTCCTTTCAAGAACAAACAAACAAAAAAGGAAAGAAAAAGATGTATATTTTTTTCTTTTTTTGGAACAAAAGAAGTATTCTAACGCAGTGTATGAATCTTGTATGCCCAATAATGATGCATTCGCTTATTTAGCACAGTGAAGAGAAGTGTCCAGAACCTTGAAGGTCGTTTTAAATCATCAAAAGGAAAATACTACTGCCATGAATCAATAGTCGTTTGAAATCAACATCAGCCATATATAAGTTCTTAACTCATAGTTGTTACTCTCCAAAAATGTTTTAAATATCTCTCTGTCCAACAAAAAGATTTGAACAGAGGTGTTATGACGAAAATATTTTAACTGATTTACATTACTCACGTTATTGCTTTAATTGATTAGAATTCAAAAAATTTCTGAATGATCGACGGAAATTCCGTTCAATCCAGAAATTACTTTTCATTTGTCACTTCGGGGGGAGTAATGTAAATCACCCAAATACAGGAGAACTTTTATAAATTAATAGTGTCGAGACCACCAAATTTTATTAATTTAGAGAATTATTAAATAATTTATAAATTAATAAATTATTAATTTAAAGAATTTCTAGAAGAAAAAAGAACGTCCTTAAATTCCTTAATTTGTAATTGTCTTTATAACCAAATCAATCAAGTATTACTACAATTTCGAATACTAAAAATCTACGCATAGTCAATATAATATCCACATACTAAAAAAAAATTATGATAAGTTTATATTTTATTAAATATTTATAATAATAATTATTATTATTTTACTTTTAAAATATTTATTAATTTATAATATTATTGAGACCTATAAATATATAGAAAATTTTCTAAAATATTATTATCTTATTATTTTAACAGTTTTGTTCACTTTTTGTACGAGTTCCAAATTAAGACCAGAACAAATTATTAATTGTTAGAAGTTATTAATTTATAAATTATTAATTTACCTACGTTCTACTTTATATTTATCATCAAAGCTACCAAACATCTGTAAATCTTTGCGTTGTCGATAAGGATATCACATGAAGGTCAATAATAGAGCTTAAAAGGCCATTAAAATTGAAAGCCCTCAAGATCTTTAGAATCGACAATGTCCATGGGCATACAAGAAAAGCGCCTAAAAAAGGGAGGATGGACTCTAGTCCCACAAAGATAAAAATCCTCATCATTCTAATGGATTAACCAGAAATATAAATTTTCCCCCGAAGGTCAAAAATCCAAGTCCAGTCACTCGATGCTTCACAAGGGAAGAAGAAAAAGGAAAAGGGAAAAAAAGAGGCAAACAAAATTCACTTTGGCGATAAAAAGGGGATCGCGTGCATATATCATGGTTTTGTCACAGTTCCTCTCAGGGATAAACGACATTTGGATCCTCGAACTTAAGATTCGGCACCAAGTTCCAATAATAATGTGTGATTAACCTGGTCAGCTACTGGGCCAACAAATTGGATGGGTCCTGTCGTAATAGATCATGGAAGGATGAGCAAAATGGAAGTTCACAGCTGAAATATTGATAAATTCTAGGGTGAAATTACTATCTTTTCTGTGAACGCACTGGACTGGTTAGAGAAGTATAACTCTGCGTCAATGCCAGGGTTAAATATATATCCTTGAATAAAAGAAAATTCAAGCTGTAAAATAAATGATACCAGGGGAGAGGTATCTGTTGTTGATTGCCCAGTCTTCCCGAAGAGAAGCAAATTTCTTGAATGGTGCACCTGAAAAAGCACAAGAACTTTTAATATCAAGTCCAAGAATGATAGAAGACAGAAGTGAAGCCAGGATTATCACCAAACTACACTATTGATATCTTTTTCAAAAAAGGGAAAAAAAAAAAAAAAACATTGTTGATACAGTTTGCAGCTACTATCATTTTTCTGAACAAAATGGCAAGAAAACCATGAAGAATATATTTGAATTAACCAATTATATTTGAGTATGCAGCCAAAAAGAATATCTCACCTTCAAGTTCCACCATTGCTTTCTTTATGACAGGCTTGAACTTACCTACAAAATCCAGAACGAACCAGTTTAGCATTCAAAATCCATTCCCCCACCCTCTCAAACCCAAACTCCCCAGAACCTTTGATTATGGGACAACAGACTAAGGCCTGGTAACTAGTTTACCATGTCTCCTCTCAACATCCATTAGTGAAGTCAGAGCTGTGCCTCCCACGGTCCATTCTTCAACTGGAGCAGCCAAGTTCCCCACCTGGAAGTACCAAATTGGGGATAGCACTAAGTGATGCAATTCAACAATGAAGCCAAAGAGTGGGGTTATGATAAAGTTCATTAAAAAAAATACTCACCGATGATATCAACCCCGTCTTGCCGCTTTGAAGCAGAGCTCCAGCACCATAACCCAATGCATAACAATATGTAGAGTCAAAATTTGAAGGCAACCCACATCTTCCTTCATAACTGCAAGTCCAAGTTCAGAAAAGTGCAACAGTTCTTTGAATTAGTTTCATGGTTAAAATGAAAGCTCTGTGCAACAAAAAGATATGGACCTTAAAATAAAATGGCTTCACCCAAAACCATGAAAGTCAAAATTCTTTCTAATAATTACCCGAAAAAGTGTGATTGTCCTTTAAATTGACCTTTGTATGAACCAGCCTGTCGCCTATGCTCCAACTCGGTCTCAACCATTTGAATTAGCATTTTCTCTGTCTCAATTTTGGCGACCTACATTGTGTAAAATTAAATATCAGGCTGCCTGTCGGACATACACATGAACCCCCTGAAAATACTAAGAAGGGGAAACATGCGCCACACCTGCACATTCCCATGTGGATCTCTCTCAAGCATCAATTGTTCCTGAATTGCTGGAGGTAAGAGTTCAAAAAGCTGCAAAGACTGGGGAGTAAGTTTATTTTTCCAAACACCGGCTTCATCAACAACCTCATGAGCCAAAATCTCATTAAGCTCTGCAATGAGCTGCTGGACCTGAAGAAAATCAAAAGATAACAATTAAAGACCAAGTTGATGAACACCTGGGAAAAACAATAATAGTAATGAACTAACATATAGCCAACGATGCTTACTTCGGGAATAAAATCAATTAACCCTTCAGGAATGAGTATCACCCCATAATTGTATCCAAGTTCGGCACGTTTTGATATGATATCAGCAATATAGTCCGTGACATTTTTCAGGGTCTGCTTCTTAGCTGCAACCTACAAAATTGTACACATTTCATAACAAGGGTAAAGCAGGCAATCTATTACGAGAAGCAAATCAGAAGATGGCCATAAAGCTTGACTCCCATATAAGAAATAAAGATACAGGGCAGAGTAAATAATAAAGTATGGTACCTCTTCTCCGATAAGAGTAATGTTTGGATGAGTTTGCAAAGCACACTCCAAAGTGATATGGGAAGCAGCACGGCCCATAAGCCGTACAACTGTCAACAGAAAGTTACAGTAAAAACGGGGCACATAAAAGTATAATAGACGGAACTCGAGCCAAACTACTTACAATGATAGTACTTCCCAGTTGATCGAGCATCAACCATAACGTTTCCAATCATTTCAGCATATATCTGCATTGCAAATAAAGAATCTCAACCGATTTGCAGCCAAATAAACAAAGTATTCCACATAAACGAACTTAACAACATGTAAAGATCACCTTGCAAGCAGTATCAAAACCAAAACTGGTTGGAACCTCTTTGCATTTCAAGTCACCATCAATTGTTTTTGGACATCCAATCACTCGAGTTTTCAGATTTTTGCTCCTGATATATGGAAAAGTCAAATAGAGTCAGATCAGTTTAATGTAATCCTTCGAATGTCTGTTTCTGAAATTTAAACATCTGCACAAACAGTTTCAGAAATACAGAAATTATGAACAATTAATGTGTTCTACCTGAAGTTTTCAGCTAAGAGACATGCATTTGTATTCGAGTCATCACCTCCAATCACAACAAGCCCATCCAGATCAAGCTTTATTGCTGTTTCTTCAGCTTGCTTAAACTGACATGTAGGTTTAACTTCTTCATTGGTCCAAACCTTAACGACTCTAAAATACAAGCATGGATATAAGTTGAGCAAAGGTCAAAAAGAAAATAGGCAATCACTACCTGTTCAGGAGTCTCAATCTTGTCCCTACCACTACAGATCATGTCGAATCCACCCTGTATTTGAAAACTCGCAGTCAGTATAGACTATATAGTGACAAAACTACAATTCCAATTGGGACCGTTTCACAATAATATACATATATCCTACTGGAAGTAAGACAACCCTTTGTATGATCAAATTAGCGTAAAAAATCTAATTTTATACATCTGCCAAAACAGGAATAAGGCAAAACCTCACACAATACAATTAACAAGGCCTACTAAGTCTACGGGATAATGTCTATTCCAAAGTTTTATCAGTAAACTTTAAAAATGCATGACTACTCAGTTTTGTCACCTGGTTTATAAGCAAATAAAATGCTCGAATTAATGTTGAAGAACTAACAACATCAAGAGATCAAGAAAAAAAGAGGTCAAACTGCTGTCAATTACAGTGGCTTACTTTTCTAGAAACAACAGCCAGAGTAAACTAATAAAGGTTTCAAGCATTTTTGTCCATATATCACCTTGAATCTATAAGGCTAGAAACACCTTCAAATACATCATATTAAGATGAAACTAAGTACCCTCAGATGTTCTCAACAAGAGAGACCTTCAGGAAGCCTTACCTGATTCCTATATGGGTAAATGTACTCCGAGTTTAACACTGTGTATTTACACTTCATAATTCCCGCAGGTCCACCCTTAAATCCATACAGTGTGCTTCCTTTGCAGCGATCCTGCAAGTAATCTTGGAGCCAAGTCCAAAAATAAAAAGGTTAGCATCCACACTAAAGATTATAAAGAAAATTTTGCAGCCAGTGCTAATGAAATGCCAAAGATAAAAAAACAAATGGCCATGCAATCAGAAAATGTTCTCACCATATATTCCAGAAATGACATTATGTCCTCCAGGAGCTTGACCACCTGACAGTACCACACCAACCTTCAAGCTTTTTGTTACATTCTCAGCTTCGCCAGGCACCAGAACAGCTGATGGTTGCCCAAACAAGTAGGGAAATAGCTTTTTTATCTCATCTACACCAAAACCCAAATTTCAGTTACTCCCAGATAAAAAAGCTATATGTTTTTTGGATAATGAAGCTAAAAGCTGTAAGAAATGTCCAAACTAATATTATGGAAGTTGTCATGATGAACTTTAGTAAAAAAAACAGAGCTAAAGAGATGCAAGCAATCCAGAAAGTGAGTAACCCAATTCAGTTGTACCATTTTGTTCCCTTTTAAATCAATTTTATAAAGTGAAAACTGCTAGGAAGAAGTAAACATTCCAATCAAATGGAATGAATTGAAGCAAATCAAATGGAACCAAAACTTAAAACATTGAAATCCTATCTTGTGACAGATTTAATTCATTCCAACTCATAACATGACAAGGAGGTTGCAGTTGACTTCCTTTGACTTTCAATGGAAACCATTTGATCCCTTATGCAAACAACTGGATTTCAGTTACTACATTGTTAAAGGTTCCCAAAACAAAAAAAATAATAATAAATAAAAAAATCCAAATCATTCGCAAGATAACGAGTATAATACAATAGGGGTCCTTGTCACAACCAGGCAAATAAATCTTGAAACATCGAGTTAAAAACATTCAGATCCATAAGCTGACTTCTTGCTCTCTCAATTGCTCAGAGAATCAAACATGAATAAATCGCAACTAAAAATCAAAATAAAAACCTCTAAGATCATCTTCGCCAATTTAAATCAGTGCACAACAAATCCTTCCAAAATCAAGGAACGGAACATTCTAACACAAACTTTTAGCATCGCTACTCTTACGCGGGAGATAAACTAAACAGGAAGTATTCAAACAATGAGTCACTTGATAAACACGGTCGACAACTGATGATGAAAACACGATTTAAAAGAAAGAAGGGAAAAAAGAACAGACGGAATGCACGCTTGTTCAATAGTTAAAAGAGGAAAAGAAGAAAAGAGAATGGACCTGGATTGCCGGCGGCGGAGCTGGGAGGACCGTCGACGACTTGGAAGGGTTTGCGAAGGACGGAAGGGAGAGGAAGAGCGTGATCGAGACGGCTGCTCTGAACTTCACTGTAAACAGAATGGAAACGACCGGTGTTGAGAGGCTTAGCGGAGGTCGAGAGTTCGCCGTTAGAAAGGTGAGAAACAGCGGCGACGGCAGCCATGGGGGAAATCGTGCGTTAGAGAAGCAGTAGATTTGGGGGAAAAAGACAGGAAAACTGGGAAGGCCAAAACTCAGATCTTCGCGGAGATTATTAAGCAAACAGAGTAGGTGAAGTTGTACTCTACTAACTACTAGTAAGTAACCCCTCCGCATACTTTATTTTAGGCTTTGTTTTCGCCGTTATGTCTCTTTGTTATTTACAAACTAGTAATTAAAATAATTATAATAAAATTTATAATATATAGTAATAAACTAGTTTTTTATATATAAGAAATCAATAGTACTACTACCTAATGTTAATTCAAATAACAATAACATATCATCAAAATTTAAATATTAGTAGAAATGAGAATTCAAATAAATGTTTGACATTCAAAAAAAATAATAATAATAACATATCAAATTGATTACCTGTGAAAATAAATTCCTTCCCTTTTTATTAACAAGACAGTGCGTTAAAAATGTGAAAATATCCCTTAAAATCTGTACTAAAAAAATGTCTTATTTGTTGTTGGGTGGGGTGGGTAGATGGCACGAGGGGAACGGTGTGTAAATGTGAGCGTATAGTATATTCATTTTCTTCTTTTTTGACCTTTTTTAGTACACATAATATTCCAATGCTTTCTGAATATTCCTTTTGAGTGATGCACTTGAAATTATCATAAACGATTTGAAAATTTATGGATTCTTAATCACTTTGAATGGAGTAACATTTTATATATAACATTTATGCATTACTAAATAAGTGATTTAGGTATAAAATTTTTACTAGAGATTTCGGAGGTACAGATGTAGAGCTCAACTTGTATCCATTTCGCTTGTTACAAGAGAGATTAGCCCAACTTTACATGCATTTTGGTAGATTTGGATGTATTGCTCAGAGTCAAGAGAGATATGTTAGTCTATTAGAGGGCGGATTAGCCCAATTTACGCCTGTTCTTAGTTCTTACTGTACCTTTTAACATAAGAATTTGTATAGGAACCAACTGATCCAATTCCAATAAACGGCAAATTTTTTTTACCACTTTTGAGCAGCTGAAGCTTTTTTTTTTTAATTTTTTTTTTAACCCGTTGAACAACAGATTGATGAAATAAACTATATATTGCAGAAGTATAAAAGCAGCAAAAATACTAACTTTCTTCGACAAGAAAAGAGACGCAACATGTATCAGAGGACTTTGCTAAGAATGATTTACAATGTGGACTCGAAAACTAAAGGCAAATGAGTCCTAACATAGGGAACACATTTGTGATGATTGTACTCTAGACAAGATAACCCTGCAATCTGATCCATACGACTCTTGAACGGTTCTCCAAGTATTCTGACCGTATTTTTTTGGAGATGATACACAACAAACACTCCCAACTCCCTGCAATCCAACCACAACTCCTCTTTGTATATTTGTAAGGCTTCCACCCGATGCATCAAGTCCCGACTCCCCGGGATCGCGCACCCTAGGTCAACCCTCCATTTTTTAACCCAATGCTTTGTTGCATAATTTTCCAATATCCAGATGTCAATAGTTAGTCCAGAAGAATCCACTTTGCAAAAGGCTAATTGCTCATCCTCATCCTCCTTCACTACTAACAAGCTCATTAGCTCGAGCTGACACGCTTTATCATGCTTGCATTCATCGCCTGGATAAGACAACCACGAAAATCTTTCCGCGTCCATCTCAAAAGTCAAGATCTTAAACGAGCAAGAAGGAGGCGTGTTGGCTGAACCACCCTCGCGAAACTGACTCACGATCCAATGCAGGTTGCCGTTACAGGTGGCAGGGGTGCTCCTAGAACGACTAGGTGCATAAGGGAAAGGCGGCACTGCCTCCAATGTTCTCCATTCTTTGGCAGCTCCAAAAGTGTAAATGCAATAACTGAGGGATGATTCATTGACATCACCTGACGACTCCTTTGCATAAAGAACCTTAAACTCATTGGTCCTCAGATGATAAAAGAAACCACACACAAAACCTGGGTGATTAGGACAATAGATGGTATCCCTTTGGTCTGTCAGAGGATTCACAAGATGTAAGCGCTGTCCGGTTGTGTCAACGAACAGGAGAAATCCACCACAAGAAGAATGAAGTGTCCTGAAATTATACAGCGAAGAAGAACCATTCGCCATCGTCTCCATCCAGAGCCTCACATTCTTGATCTTCCATTCCACTTCGGGATGATCATCATCGTAGAGGCATAATGTTTCCTTTCGCAACGGTTCACACGGCGTATAAAACGTGGCATAAATGATGGGAGTGGATTTGGCCCTTTGCAAGTGCAATCTCAGAAAGAGAGAAGACCAGGCCAACAGCCTCCAATTCTTACAAACTAGTTCACATTGCACCACGGATTCTGAGGGCAGTCTGCTGAATATGTTCTCAACCATATCGTCTGGAAGTTGTTCTACTGTCACCATCTTGATGAATCAGTGCTGCAATTCAGTCGGACAACATTATTAATAGTCAAGTTTAACAATCTAATCAATTAGACCTAATGGCCTCTGTCAATTATAATTATTTTCATATAAGTCATAGATCAACTTCAAAAATGGGTATGTCAGAGTGCAATCAGACCAATATGCTCATTAAAATTTCACAAAATCGGAGTTCCAAAAAAATAAACACACACAGACACACATGTCATGTTAAATTAACATTTTTAGATTCCCAATTCCCTGTACATATCTTCGACAATTATGTATACAGATACGATCTCCATCCAAATTCAATAGAAAAACAAAAACATGTGGTAACAAGCATAACTCATCAGCAGAATCCAATCAATTTCTCAATGGGTAGAAATCTCGAGCTTCTATATCAAGAACGTAAATGGATTAGCCTAGATCATGACAGTCCCAATTAAATTCGTGGTTTTGTAAACTAAGGAGAAAAAAACACACACAAACACAGAAGATGATGATGAAACAAACATTACGTACCTATCGCCTGTAGAAATTAAAGAAAAAGGTTCATTGTGGTTTGACTAGAAGATATACTATTGATTTGCATTACGGAAACCAAAAAAAAAAAAAAAAAGATGTAATATTGGTGGAATATAAGTGCCAGAAATTGCTGGAGTAGTATGGAGTTCAGATGACAAACCTGAGATAATCGGTGCTGCAAAACGCCTACTTTTCCAATGAATTAATGTCGCCGGTTACTCAAAGTTTTGTTACGAACCACACTTTACCAGTTAAATTAGGCCTACAAACAAATGGGGTTATATTTTATTTATTTATAGTGTAATATTTCGCCAAGCGGAATTAGTAAAAAAGTTTCTGTTATACTTTCTTAATCTACTGTGATTCTTATCTTATTAATGTTATCCAAACTAAAGTAACGAAATCTTATCCAAAAATAACCCATCAGCTCTTATCGCAACCGAAACTAGATAAACTCCAAGAGCATTCAAATTTTTTTATCTAAGGCTGGTGCTACTGCCAGCACAACTTTTAGCATCACAGAACACAAATGACACTTTTCTTCTATTATTACCCTTATGAGGTCAAAGTTAAATCTATTCTTTCTCCTCTCCAGAGTCCAGAGTCCACATTTATCCATCCGTTCATGCAGAGTTCTATTCTACCTCTAATCAAAATCCTCCGTGCTCTGTCCAGCACGATAAACTGTTCCTCACAAACAAATTTCTCAGAGCAATAACGTCAATTCCATCCGCCATCAATAGCTTTTCTCCACATATCACTAGCAGCTCTTTCCAATTCTAAATCAAGAATCAAACTTCCAGCTCGCCGTCTTCTCTAGTTGAAGCCTTTATCTCTAATGCAATGATAACAAGTCGACCAAGTTTCATAAATTCGAACAATGGGGATTAAATTTCAATCGAACCGGTCCATTGAATATCGGTTTTGAAACCCGATGTTTGAAGAAGTGATAATTTATGCAATTTATTTTTTGAAGAAATGCTGAAAGACCAGGAAGATTGTTGGGTTTTCTAGAAAATCAAGAAAATAAAAAATAAATTAAAAAAAAAAACCTTTTTTCTGAAGGAAATAAGAAAAATACAGGTGGGGAGATGATTTCAATTTTCAAATTCTGTTTTGGTTGATTTCACCTACACTTTGAAGAATTTGGAGAGATCATGGCACTTGGATATAATTAAAAGCTTAGTTGTGAGATTTATTGACCAAGATGGAACCTTTCAATTTCATGAATGATAGCACTTGGAATTTTTTTAATTTGACCGTAACCCTCAACTGTATATCAAGAAAGAATTGATAAATTTATTGACGAGGGTTGTTCGTGAGTTGATTAATTTTAAAAATTGTTGAGTTTTTTAGTTGAAATATGAAGTAGGAACTATGAAAATTTTCTTTACGTTTATTGCGAACGAAAATGGTACACAAATCAAGGAAACTATTCTGCAAGTTCTGAAAGAGAGAGAGGCTAGCACGCTGTAGAGAAAGAAGATGATAGACGTAGGAGAGGAAACGAAGTTTGTGACAGGTGGGTTTGACCTCGTAAGGGTAGTTGTGGGAGAAAGCAGCATTTATACTCTGGATGCTAAAAATTGTGTTGGCTAGCCATACATAAAAACATAAACAAAGCAAGAAATTACAAAAACACAAGTAGTGTATATTTGGTAATTATAATCAACATGACTCAAGGCCTTCGTGGGGGGATATAAGATTTTAACACGTCAATTAATGCTACCTAAAATAAAGATTTAATGTTTACTAGTACATTGCATTGCTGAAAGTATCAGCGAAAAGAGGTAAGTTATTATTTGCCTTTGTACTGAGTCACACAAATATGAGTATTTTCTTGGTTCTTTCTTACCGTCCTTCTAATTCTAGATCTACCATTTCTCGCGTCTATCGATTGGCATTGAGTTGGTTTCGCGATTTGCTTTCAACTTTACATTTTCCATCTTGAAAAACTATGACTCGATGTGAAAAGTTACTTTCATTCATTTATGATTAAATTTATGTAGTACTCTTACCGTTCCAAAATCATAAGCCTCTTGACAAAAATCTTTCCAATAATTTTGTCAAATACCAACATAAAACTAACAAGTACGCACAACCCTGCAACCTCTCAAAATTTCACACTTGCAGAATGATAATCATAATTTTGTCGTAGGATTTCACTTTCACTGCTATAGAAAGCTAGAAAGCTACATGTTTAAATTATGATTATAAGCTAGAATGATAATCGTGAAATTAGATTTTGGTAAGAAAAAAGTAAATGCAACGTAAACTTCACGAACACCCTCAACCATCAATTAACTTGATCTTGTCGTGGCATATGAAAAATGTCTTAAATAAAGTAATGTTTTTCAATAGTTTAACATTAAAAAATTCTTGGAAACATACCAATTACCAACCATCAAATCACTATGAACATAGCAAACTTGAAATCGTAATCTCGTAATCGTAATCGAACACACCAGTAGTTGTTTCCCAAACTTTTGTACTTGAAAACCAAGCATAATTTCTCCAGTTTTAAGCGTTAAACAATGAAATATATAACTCATACATTTCTGTCCAATTTAGACTGTTTTCCTTTTACGTTTCAAAGAAATTAAGTTGTGTTTCCCCAGCTTTCCACAGAACTTGGCCAATTGACTATAAAGATAACGTTTTGCCTAGAGGCTTTTGTGTGGGAATCTCATCATAATTGCACCCACTGAAGGATGGTTAAACAAAATTGCGTTTTTATATTAAAAAGTTAAAATAAAAGGTTAGAGATCATCATTAGCAATATTAAAAAATAAAAAAACCACAAGGCAGCCGCCGCCGCTGCAGCACAGTCAGGATCTACAAAGGGAAGGTTGGAAATTCTCTTAGCTGTGAAATCTTGATGTGGGATTCTGTTCATCATTATTTTCATTATAAGCATATTTCAGCCTTTGTTCTTTTAACTTTCTCTTAGAACTATGAACACCAGATTGCTAAAGTATTAAAATAATTTTAGGTTAGAAATGGATTTATTGTACTACTAAATAAGAATAAATTAGTGTACGCTTTATCCCTAAAGGCAGACAAAACCACATCGTCATATGCATAATCTATACAGAATGTCATGCTTAATCATTTTGCACCTACGATATAATAAGCTTTTACTTAGAAACAGCATCGATATAACTGCTTACCAGAAACAAATACATGAAGAACGGGATACCAAATCAGTTTAGTTAACTGTGTTACACGAAGAAAAAACCATCCCTTTGAAATTTTCTGTAATGGTTGTCTTTCATTAGTAAGACTAATTTCACTTTAACTGTCAGTCAAACTAATGTCTCATTCATACTCTCATATGAGGTAGAACTTCCCATCATCTCATAATAAACGCCGCTTCATATATAAATCTACATCCTAATCTGAATCATAATAATTTTATTTATAAAAAAAAAAAAACTCTAATAGAAACACTCTAAATGTAGCAAGAAGTAACACATATTTAATCTTATGTGTCTGTGACTTGGGGATGCTTTTCATCATGTTGTTAATGATGAATCCCAGTGGTTTACTTCACTAATGTCTACCTCTAACTAAGCATAGGACTACTAGCTAGCATTGCAAACTGACTGACTCTTCCAAAATCAACAAGTTCAGGACATATCTCAACCAATCATTGTATCCCCATGTCCCCCTTTTCCCATCTTTTCTGATCATTAAATTACTTCAAATTGAATAGGTACTTTCCACCTCTACCACAAGTAACCATGCTTTGACACCTAATACTTACCAACAAACACACTTACCAATTTAATTAACCATACTTTTAAATTAATATTATGATTTTAAGCTCATGACTTGTTTAATTACCCTTCTCCCCATCACACTAGGCCAGCCTGCTTACTTTTTGTTCATTCACATCTCGACATAATCACAATTAGTGCGTCCCACTTGGTTTATTTTTGCCTAGATGATTTCCTATGGTATTATTCTTCTTCTTCAAGACTTTGCATTACTGAAGCTTAAAGATGCAAAGCTCCAAAGAAGAAACCAAGAAGCAGCAAAAGCGTGGTGGACTCGGAAGAAGCAGAAGAAGCTGCTGTTCTAAGGCTTTGTGGTGCAGCTCTAGGCTGAGTGTTTCGTCGTCCGAAGAAGAATCCGAAATCTCAGTAAATTCTTCTGAAAGGTATTGCTGCTTCAACATAACTTTGTCCATGATGAACTCTTCTTTTGAACCACTTTAAGATGGAAACATAAGTTAGTATCTGATGATGCATCAGGTATCCCACAATATCTAGCATAGCACATGCCATGGTTCAAGAGAAGCTAGACCAGATGATCAAAGAGCGGAAACAGCAGCAACATCAGGAAGCGAGAAATAAACAAGACAGGTGGCGACGATCAAGAGAAGAAGGAGGGAATTACCGTGATCAGCGTGATCATGGATCATCATCATCATCATCAAAGTTCGTAGTAATGCTGGCAATGGAGAAGTCCTCTTATGATCCCAGAGAGGACTTCAGAGAATCCATGCAGCAGATGATAACTGCAAACAGGATTTATGAGCCAAGGGATCTGCGACGCCTCTTGAATTTTTATGTGTCCATGAATTCTGAAGAATATCATGGTGTTATACTTGAGGTGTTCCACCAAGTATGTACCACCTTATTCTTATCTTGTAAACAAAATATACACAGAAGGAAGCACTATTATTTGTAGCTAGCCTTCTCCTGTTCCCTGAGCCTTCTCAGGATCAGTATACAGCCATAAGATGCCTTATTTGCAAAAGCAAAAGAGGACTGCTTTGTATAAATGTTGACAAAAAAAAACAGGAACCGGCCGGCAGCAGTTTCAGTTCACCTTTAGTTATCTAAATCATGTTAAAATCATAACAAATGTACTTACAGAGCACATTTACTCACTCGAGGATTAACTTGTTAATTCAAAGACCTCATCAGCTTCTTTCACCCAGATCACTAAAATTTATGTTTTAGAACAAGGCAACTCACCTCATCGAAGTGTTCAAATAATGGCCACAGTGAACATTTTTTTTTTTTTTTCTAGAATTTCTGGTAGTGAGCACTGAAAGATACAGATAAGGCCAGACTTCAGCTACTTAACAAAAAGTGATTATCCTATTCTCAAATGTGAAGCTGTATGAAGAAACACATTTTAGAGGAATGAAATGCCTCAACAGAAAAAATTTTGCCTACAAAATGCCTGCTCACCCTCTTTTTAGCCAGGTCCTAGAAGGAGTTCAAGAGGATATAGCATTATCATAATGTATATCAGCATAAATGTCAACGTTTGAGGCATAGACTAGTAGTACGCATCGTGAAAGCAAACATACATTAGCACTCGTACTTCGCAACTTTTCTTTATACATATTCTCAATACAGTAGCTAAGTAGCATCCAGTATCTAGGTAATTAATCTATAAGAATCAGAATGCTGTGCTTTTAAAAATATACGAAAGAACCATATTCAAGGATTCAAAAGGGGGCTGCCTTCCTTGATGAGAACAAAAATACTACCACCATCACCCCTTGAAATCCGAAGTTCGTGATCAAGGTATGTAGTGAGAAGCCATGACTCTGCATTCCTATTCGAAAACGAGAATTTGAATGGAGGCTGGCTGGAAATGGACTTGGCAACTGAGGAAGCTGTGTCCTGGACAGAAGTAAGTATGCCTTTGAAAGGGGCAAGATCAACCTTTTGTCCCAGAATCTCCACATTTTCTGGCACCTCAATGGAGTCTGTCAACTGAGGAGTGCCAATAATGCCTTCTTCAAATTTTATCTGAGATGAATCCATATAAGCGTTAGCACAAAAGGACAGGAAAATGAAATATTGGCTGTTAACGAATTCTCTGGGTATCTGAAGCATTAGAAAATAACCTGGACTCTTTTGGGACTTCGGATTTCAAACTTGGCACTGGTTGTAATGGAAGTGCTGGCCAATGGCCCTGAAAACAGGACAGAGTTCTCCACAGAGAAATTCCCAGAGTCTATGGTCTGTGATATTTCCTCAACCTTCAAAAGGGGTAGAGTGCCCCTTGACAACAGGGGAAATAGGCCAATGAAAGAAGTGTACCTGCAGTAGTATCGGATGCATTAAACTGTCTCACTGAGTAAATTACTGACAAGACATACCACTTTTTTTTTTTTTTCCAGAAAACAGCTGTTTCCTTCTTTCATTTTACATTTTGTGTAACCACAATAAGGGTTTGATAAGATTTCCCTCCAAGATCATACTGGATTATTAATTAATATTTTCACATTCATGATCATTTATTATTAGCACTCAACATTGATGTCACCTATTGATTTCTGTAACCCACTGATGTCACCTATTAATACCATCTTTTTGTCTTGTCTTTGCTTATTTAACAAAAGAATGAAAGATGCATCTCTGCAAGAATCAGCCTTCAATTTTCCCCCCATTAATCTTGATACCGAAATGTCTAGCATAGATGTTTATGCTGAATTGTAAATTAACATACTAGAAATCCCAACCATATACCCCTGTTTAGGTTCTGAAATTAACATCGCCCATCGTATGCCCTATTACAAACATCTTGTTCTTTGATTTCCTTTCTTTCTTATTTTTAACTCGACTTCAGCAGTTCACAAGACCTAATTGCATAACATGCATTCGAACCAATAATAAATTAAGACAGTTCATCTTCGTACCATTACAACGTCAATCAAAAGCAACCAGGATTCTAAATTGAAGGAGAAGATATTCAAAATCAAGATTAAAACTTACGCAAGAATCCATTTGCCATTGAGCAGAGTCAACGCCTCAGTAGGGGCAGGAGTTGGATTTTTGGCCTCCAACTGAGTGATCAGCTCCACAATCTCCGCCCTTGTCTCACTCGTCGCACTCAATCCCCTGTTAGTACCATAGAAAGCGTCCACCAAACGCTTCTTTAGCGCGTCAATCTCCGCCGTCGCTTCCTCCTTCGGTGGCTCCTCCACCGCCACCGCAATTCCAGCTCCATACCCGGGCTCCGAAGGCTCTGGGCCCCATTCGTCGTCATCAGGTACCGCCCGGGTCACGAAATTCAACCTTCTCTGAGGGGATTCTTGCACAGAAATGGCTATTTTTGCCCTGGAATCGGGGAAATTCAAGGAGCAATTAGAGATCTTTGGGTTGAGCTGGGGTTTTTGCGAGGTTTTGTGAACTGGGTTGGAGAGAAATTGATTGAAAGAAGTGATTGAAGCCATGTTCCGGGGAAGAGGATGATAGCAGGGGCGAACTGGAACAGTTATAGCAAGAGAACTGCAATGAAATGTCAGGAGTCAGGTTTCTGTTTTATGAATCACTTTGGCGGTACGGGAGACGATTAGAAGACTTATTTGCCCCGAATTTGTTCTAGAAGGTTTCCCCGTGATACGAAGTTTTTAGGGATTTCGCATTTGTTTTGTGGTGTAATTAGGTTGACACGTGGCGGGTGATATTTTTTGAGGTTTGTTGTTCGTGAATTTTTTTTGCATAATTTTACCCCAAAGAACCATTTCAAAATAAATATTACTCCCCCATGATTTGTCATAAATTTCATTTAGTATGTTATTTAAATGTACATAAAACTTTAAAAATATACTTTTACATTTATTTTATCCTGCAAATTATTCTAAATATTTTAAAATTTTATTTTCAATTGAAAAAATTATAGAAATTATTCAGTGCTGTACCATGTAAGATTGTGCAGCCAAACCCAATAATAGAGTAAGTTAGTAATTTTAGGGAGAGAGATAATTTCTACAGGAATTATATCACCGAAATAGGAAATCATAGTATTTGCTGCACTAAAAACCAGAATACAACATTGTGAGTTACCCCATATTAAGGTCTAGAAAGTTCTCGTGTCCTTTTGGCGGATAAGACGAACGGAAACTAATTTACGTGTTGCAATCAGAGCAATTAGAGACATGTGGCGAGAAATTTCTTCCTTTTTTTTTTTTTTTCTCAGCAACCATTTTAGCTGCATTTTGAGGAAAAAAGAAACACTTGTCACTTTATAAGGAAAAAGTGATCCAAACATGTTTGAAAACAAAATTTTTTGCCCAAAAAAATCTCTATTTACTTTAAATTTTTAAATTTTTATTTTTTAATATTATACAAAAAATCAATAAGTCTTAAAATAGAAAGAGTACAAACAGTAGTTCTTTATGGTCGATAAGGGTAACTTAAGATTTTGGTAACTGACAAAAATAGGCTATTACTTGAGCCAAATAAGTAGGATCCCAGTGCCAGAAAAGATGCCCAAAGAGAGGTAAACAAAATGAATGGTGTAGAGTTACAAGGACGACTTTCAGTCGGGACTTGGGAGTCGATACTTATATTCAGCCCATTTTTGGAGACGTTGGGCCTAACCTCAAATTTCCAGCACTTCCCCAGTTCCACACTTCCACTTCTAATTTTATACACATTTTAGTATGAAATATACAGTATCTAGATATATACGTACATATATATATATATATCTGTAGATCTTAGAAATGTTTGTATCTGGAAAAAAAATATTTAATATTTGGCCCGATATATTTTAAAAATGTTTGAAGAATTTATAAATATTTTATAAGTGTGATCATAGAAATGTTTGTATTTGGCATAAAATGAAATTTTATTTGACCCAGTACGTTTTAAAAATGTTTGAAAATTTTAGAAATATTTTATAAGTGTTTGATCAAATATGTCTTGAAGTAAATGCTAGACAAAATATAAAAGCATCCTAATAAGTTTAAATATTAGTAAGATAATTTATTGATATCTCCATTGGTTGTGCCAAATCAATACTTAGTTTTCAAGATTTATAATAACTTTGTAGTAAACTTCCTCCAAAGGGTATACGCTTAATTGTTGGAACTATTTCTTCCAAAAGTTTATGGTTAGTAAAATATCAAAAATATGATTTTGAAACTGGTTAATTGTTGAAACTGGTTGATCACAAATATAAGAATGAAAATAATGTAAATTTGCATAGGTTTCAAGTTATAGCAAAAAAGAACTCACCTCACCATGGCAAATAAAAAAAAAAGAAAGTAAAAAATAACTCATTAAAAATTGAGAAATTTATTTATTTTTTCTGTAGGTAAAAATGATATATAAAAACACAAATAAATGTAGAAACATCATTCCTTTCCTCTCTACTTTAAATTCATAAAAGACTTCCCTATAAGTTAGTTAGAAGAAGTGACCTGAACTATTTATATGATGAAGAACTAAAAAAATTATATTCTTGAAAGCCCGAATACACACAAAAAAAATGCGCCTTATTTGTAAATAAAATAAAATAGTAATAATAATAATTGGTCAATTGGGAGTATGGAAAAAGTCAAAAGCAATTAAACAAAGAAAAAACACACTTCATAATTAACCATATACGAAAAAAACCTGAGACTCCATAATTAAAAAAAGAAAACCAATCTAATTGAATGAAACATAAAAAAGAAATTCAAAAAATCACACTTTGTAACAAAAACTCAATTAATCAATTCAATCCAAACATAACTAAAATCATACAAAAATTCTAGACTAACTAACTATATGAGAAATCACATCATATTACCTGACAACGGCTACGGTAGCTGTAACAGATGGATACATAAAAATATATTAATCGCTACTCCCTCTAATCTTAATTATAAGGTCTTTTTAAAGATTTTTTGGTTCTATTTATAAAGCATTTGACGTCTTTGAGGTTTTATTTATAATGCATTGCCAGTTTTGTCGCAACTTAAATCAACTAAAAATTAATTTGATTGGTTGATAAAAGTGCAAGGACATTTTTAAAATGGTTATTATAGATAGATCATAAAAAACTATTTAAATTAATTATTTTTCTTAATTTTTTTGCAAATTAGTTATTTATGATTTATTTGAAGGACCGGATGTACTTATAACTAAAAAGTTTTGTTCATCTTATCCATTCATTTTTATTTTTTTTTTGTAGACCATGTGAAGAAATTATCGCGAATTTTTTCATCCAAAGTTAATCCCTTTTAGGAAATCCGAAGCTATAGCAATTTTGATTATTATGAAGAAAATTCAGGATTTAAGTTTTGGATTTGTTCCAAGCCCCCAATCTCTTGTGAGTGTATCAGTTTGTTTTTGGTCCGCTAATCACAACTCAAAATCGTTTCAATTTACAGATTTACTTAATCTACACGACCTTTATCCCCAATCTTCTGCGATCTTATCGTCCCTAATGTTTGTTAAATTTTTCTCTTCATCCAATTAACAATAACAACCACATCAAACGAATTGCACTCAAATACAAGCAGACTTTTTACGTGATCATCATCTTCGACGCATTTGCGGTTTGCCGAACGACTACATATTAAAAAGGTTCCAAATTCGTTTGTCTAATCTTTTCATGCATTCTTAAAAAATCCAAAAGATTTGTTTTTTTTTTAAAAAAAAAAAAAGAAGAAGAAAATGGTTTTGTACTTTTGTGTGCTCATGACCGGCGGGGATCGTCGAAACATTTAACGCGGCCCTTGAATAAATCAAACAGATGACAAAAAGTAACTTTAATATATTCAATTTTTTATTTTTATTTTTATTTTTTCAGGTTGGTGCCTTTTGCAACGGCTGTTGTTGTTTTTATTTTTATTTTTGTTTTTGCGTTCTATTATTATTTCATAAGTTAAAGTTATGCATTAACGATAATGTCTAGCTCTAATGAAGAAGAATTCCATTAGCGGAAGAACAAGGGGAAAAAAGTCTTTTCCACTTTCGAAGATAAAAGCGAACAAATAACTAACAAAGCAAGTCTAATTTAGGTAATCCCAACTAGATAAATGAGGACATATGGTCAAACGTACTATCTTATGCGTGCGTATTTATAATTTCATATGATAATAATTGAGCTACTATGAGACTATTATAAGGTCCATATATTCAAAAGTCAATGGAGGATTGGTACTTTATTATAATTTGTACCAAATTGAAGGGATTAGTATACATTACTTGTTCAACTAAACCAAGCAATATTCCTCCCTACTTTTGAACTTTTTGCATAATCAATCTAACTGTGACGTGAAATGAGACCCAGTTGGAACTCAAAGAAGTAAAATCTCACAAAATCTGGAGGAGGAAAGGTATAAATTTATTTATTTCCAACTCGGAATGATTGTTTAATAAGTTTATTAATAAAACAATTCGGCAAACAAATTTTAAATTTTATTAGTATAGTGGTCAGACAATTATTTAGCTACGAAGCTGTATAAATAATATAATAAAACTTCTCGAGTGTAATTTTGCCTTGTATTGGAAAAGTTTTAAGTGATGAATTACATCAGGCTAAACCGCATTTTGAACAAGCAAAGGCCACATGGTGAAACCTTGACAACTGAGCCATACATAATATGAATTATGAACTACTACATTTCCCATCCCATGAATTTATGCTTCCGTCATGGCCGGCGACTCCTAAAACAATTGTTTTATGCATCTAATAATTCAATTCACTTTGCCAACTGATAAAACAAATTTAATTGCAACAACTCCAAATCGCATCATCCAACCCATCTCTCCAAATAATACGATAATAACTTACTAATCAACCAAACCCTCCCACATTCAATCTACTCCATTTCTTTTAATCAAGAGTTCGTTGAGTCTAAATTCCTTATTATAAGATTTGCACTGATTCGGCACGATATTAGTTAGCCAACGCAAAGTTAAGTTACGTAATTCAACGATAAGAATGGATATAGATTAATCAAGAGCTATATAGAAAGGCCCCCACCAATTAATAATTAACTCCCTCCAAATGCCCAATTTTTCTGCTTCCAATTTGTCTTATGTTAATTTCTTCAAAGATTCTGGGGAACGTCAAAAATTGTTCGCTCCAAATTCCATCATAGAATAATCAGGAAATTCCTCCCCCGAGAACCTACCTTCTTCTCCTTGACTCCCTCTCTTAATCCATTTCATACTCAAAACAATGCCACATAATATATATTAACCACCTTCATTTATGTTCAAATTCAATTTTGGTTTTTCTTGCCTCCCTTGTGAATTTTTTGGCGCTGCTGCAGCGTGCAGGTGCTTGTGATGAATGATAGTAGATGGTTGGGTTGTGTGGGGTGTGGCCTTCAAGAACAGCTTGATTAATAGCGATCACGTGATTTACATGCTTTAATACACCTCCATTTCATTCATTTCACTCGTATGTCTATCCATCCCTTAATTTCCTCTCTTTCATGCACATTAGTTTCATCAAGAACAGAGTGTGCGCTTGTGTTTCTCTTAGTGTCAGTGTGTGTGTGTGTGTGCGTGTTCTATTTTTTATTATTTTTGAAAAATTTGTTCTATCTATGTTCTGAAGTTTAGGAAAAAAGATCAATGGCTCACCTTGGGCAAATGTTGGGTTTTGATCTAATATCGCAGGGAAGGATTGAGGGGGGACGACGAGGAGTCGTCACGGCGGCCACCACGTCGACGACGACTTTGCTGGACTTATTGACAGAAAGTATGATGAACGCCGGTTCCGATCATTTGACCCGACGAAAGTCTTTCAAATTGCGGCTAGGATTCAACGGACTTTGTGGGGCCATGTGGGGTTACGGCCCAAACAGCACCATGAGCGTCAGAGGCGACGAGGATGCCGGCGGCAGCGACGGCGGCGGCGCCGGTAGCGGCAGTGCCGGAGATTATGAAGAGGGAAGAGTTTCCACCGCGATGGGAACAGGGGGTGTGAACCTCGGTCAAGATTTTCTAGGAAACAGGTCAACGCCGGCGTGCGGCGGAGACGCTCCGGCGCCGTCGGGGATGAATCTGGCAGCGGCTTTGGCGGCGGAGAGGCAGTTCAGGGCGGCCCAGGAGTTCGAGGGGTTTAGTCAAAGCCCAACAACAAGACTATCTGATGTCAACAATAACCAGGTGGGTGCGGCAACACAAAGGGAACAAGGGACGCCGCTGAGAATGTCGTTGATGAAATTATTGGAAGAAACGGACGGGTGCGATGAGGAGATGAAAGAAGGAGCGGCGGGGGTGGATTCCATGTGCTGCGTGTGTATGGGAAGGAAAAGGGGCGCAGCGTTCATACCATGTGGCCACACTTTTTGCCGGGTGTGTTCCAGGGAATTATGGTTGAATCGAGGGCTCTGTCCCCTTTGCAATCGTACGATCCTTGAGATTCTCGATATTTTCTAGTAAATCATCGTAGTAATATGGAGATTGTGGATGAATTATAATGATGATCATCATCTGCTTCATCTGATGGAAGTTTTTTTTCCCACAGTTCTAATTACCTCCATATAGTATATCATAATAATTCAACGATTACATTGTTCAACCTGGCAAGTACAATTACATTCTCCAATTTTGTATCTGGGAAGAAGACGTACACGTTATACATTCCCTTTTCTTTACTATACTTTTTTTTTTTTGGGAAAGTTTGGCTTAAGGACAGAAAAACAAGTCAAATTAATAAAAGGGCGGTAGTTTATATGTCAAAAATTACAAAATCAATATAATTTTATAATGATATAATTATTTTTATTTTTTTATTATCTTTTTGAAGAGGTTCTTGATAGATTTCCGCTGCCCAATGTCAAGAAACAAATAGAGAACTTTCATGAGGAGCTAGTAATTGTAACAATTTTTCTAGCTAGCGGTCAATCTAAGGGTCAATCTAAGAATCTGTTCTGAATGATGTATGTGCTGGTGCTGCTGTTTACTTATTTCAATGAGATGAAACACGAACACTTGATTGTTACAATTACTAATTTTTAGAAAACTGGTTCTCTTCTGTCCATGTTAATTTGATTAAAAAAAAATAATACTCTCTCGTCCCACAAAAATAGTTCACATTGAGTTTTGAGTTTTGTATTGTTTTTAGTACAAATTTGAAAATTCAATGTTGACTATTTTTTTGGGACGAAAGTAGTAATAAAAAAATCTAACAATCAATATGCAACAAAAGAATGTAATTACAGTATAACCCAGAATGAATGGTTATATGTGCCGATGATGAGCAAATGAGAAAATTACTGACTTTTGACTTGAGGAATAATTTCTTTCACCGCATTGGTAAGTAAAAGAACTTCAAAACGTAGCAGCTATTGAGTGGGTCGTCAAGAGAGAAGTTGTTGTTTCAACTCTTCTATTAGCCTGCACTGACGATGTCTCTACCAATGTTGCCACTGCTGATTGGTTGGTGAGAGCTGCTTATCAGAAATGAGCAGCTTATTATTTGGATACAGTAATTGCTTTATCAACACAACCGTCAATGTTCACATTTGGCCACTCACTATTTTTTCACATTTGGCCGCTTCAGAAGTGATCAGGAAAAAGTAATGGGACGGCGGATTTATTGGTTCAAAATGTTCGACTTTGCATGAAGAAATGATAAGAAATAATCCTTCGTAATCATGAAACAAACAACCTTAAAGCTTCAGTCCAGCCACAAAGACAGAGATTAATCCAGTCACTTAAGAAATTCAAATTTAGAGTATACAACGTAAATTAAAGCTTGCAATGTGATATAAGCACTTGTTCATCTTCTTTCTTTTGTGATGACTTTTTTTTCCTGGGCGATAATGTCATATGATAAACTTTTGAAGGAATCATAGAATGTTAAATTTGGATGTTTAAAGTGTTATTGGAAGAATAGATTTTTCTTACAGACACAAAGCATCAGAAGGGTAATGTCAAATAAATTTTAGAAATAGTAATAATTGATGTTGATGTAACGACCTAGGATTTATACATGTGGTATTGATAAGTTAGAATATTTTTATTTTATTATTTTTAACAAATAAATTACCGCCCTTCATAAAAAATATTTTTAAGGTCATACATTTTTTATTAATTTGACTTGTTTTACTGTCCTTTAGCCAATTTTTCTCGAAGTAATAACATTATTTTGTAGCAGTTATGTTATTGGTTTTTGAATCGCTTTATTTCTTGGGAGTTAATTTGGGACGAAAGTTTGTTACTCAGAATATCAAGACTGACTATATATAAATTTTTGGGAATTAGTCCAACCCGTTAAGTTTTAATTAATGAGTTTCCAAAACATGTCAAACAGATCGAGAATCAGGATACAGAGCGGGTCGAAATCGATCCCAAACCAAAAGGAGTATCCATTTGTTATATATATGTGTGTGTGTGTGTGTGTGTGTGAGTGTGAAAAGAAAGAGAGACAAAAAAGTATGGCTGTAACAAATATGTAGTGAAGTAAATCATGTCCACATCATGGCTTTTTGCATTTTTTCTCTTAAAATCGTCTTTGGATTTGGACAAATAATGCTTAGATGATAAGATGAACATAATATATGTCTGGTACAAACTACGGACCAAGATTTTTCTTTTCAAAATTTTATCGTGGTAGATGCGTCTGCGATTTCATTTAGGCACGATAAGAGATAAATTACATTGTAAAAAGTAACAAATACTAAGACCAAATCATCATTGGCCAAATTTGCTTAGATGTACATATAATTCATGTTTACATATTACGCAACTTGATTGTGCTTTGTTTCGGGGAACTATTCGACTACACTATTGGTTTTTTTTTATTATTATTATTTTGTATATATGTTCAGTGCTAGCATTTTTATAACCATAAGCGATAAAGTAATTTAAAAAGAAGAATACAGATGAACGAAATTTAAACGAAAGTTTGACATCATATTTCTTTGATTTTAACCCTTTTATTCTTGATGGGTAATGGCTGTGTTCTCTCGTCATGATTTATTCTGAATTAATGAAAACTGCGAAATCATTTCGAAACATGAATATCAAATTAGGATTGAATTTGTTAGCTTAAAACTTATTGCCTGAAAGGCTGAAATGCATGCCCTAAGCAAAATTTGGTCACGAGCGGCCGAGGGGTGAGTTTCAAATGATTATTTATTTATTTTTTATTTTTTTCATATTTGCAGGGTGTCTACCGTCGGTAACAGTGACTAATCTCCCTCGCTGAATTGTACGTACCTCGATGGGTGGGACGGCTGACCAAAGTATTTAAAGTTGCTCAATGCACATGGTAAAGTTCGAATCCTCGATCTATAGTTAAGGTTAGAGAAGTCCTTCCAGTCCACCACAACTATTTTGGTTTTCAAATGATTATTATTAATAGTATTTTTTTTTTCGCTTAAAAAGCCCACACGCGAGCCCTTAACATCTTCCTAAATGATGTAAAATAGAAACTAAAGGCCCAACATGAGGGATACTGGATGGTCTTGGCTTTTGGTACTGGGGTTTATTTGGACTTTGTAAAATTTAGGTGAACTAAATGCCCAATTCATCCCAAATAATACACCATGGACAGATCTATCTACTACCAAGTGTACTATCATCGACCCAAATTATTTTCCACTGTGAGGAAAAGAATTGTTTCTCTAAATCAAATGTATAATTCAATACTTTCTTCGTCTTGTTTTGTTTTTTTTGGTGGTTGTAGTTGTTTACCCTACTCTTCCAAGCCATGGCGTTTGCATTGACGAGAAATATAACAGCGAGAACAATTTCAATGAAAACGAGTTCACAAAAAATCAATTTAAAATATTACTCTCTATGTTTCAAAATTATTGTCCGATTTGAGTTTTCATTTTTAGTTCAAGTTGTATTAAAACTGAAATTTCAACTGGATAATAATTTTGGGACAGAGGAAATACTGTATATAAGATGTCGAATTGAGTTTGGCACGTTCAAACTTTAGTTTTAAAAAATTAAATCGAACAAAACATTAGTTACATCATAACACAACACAACGAGTGCGTGAACATTGGCAATAAGGTGTATGTAGAGGAAAGTCTCCACCTCCAAAATGAAATGATAATTGAGGAGAGAAATGTGGTTGCGGAAACGAGCTAGGTAACTAGGGCTACAATTTAGAAATCAAACATTATTTGCTAACGGACTCTGGACGACAAGTGATTCTTCTCCATAAAATTCACAATCAATCTCCATCACAATCCCACGCATCCAGCAGCCATCAATGCTAGAGTAGTTTGCAGAAAAAAAAACTACAAATATATAAAAAATTGTAATGTAGCTGGCTAGTAGAAGTCAAACGGTCAACCGAACCAGTCAACGAAACAAAAAGGTAAGGCGAAAATGAAAAATCAGGATCCATTATTGAAACAAGCCAATGAATACCGGTCCCTCCCTTCTCCTGCCGTAATGGACTACCTGTATAGATCCATATTTGTGTGCGCGTATTGTGATGGGACTCATATTATTACAACTACTTCATTATTTTGAAATTTTAAACTACTTCACTTCTCCTTTCTTCCATCCTTATATTCCATCTGTCCTAAAAATAATCCACATTTTTTTATAAAATAAAAATAATCTGCATCATATTTTCAAATTTTTACTAAAATTATTACAAATATCAAAATTTAAGGTGAATTATTTTCTTTTGGACAGAGTAAGTAACCACTCTTTATTTTATTTTTTCAGATAAAAGATAAATATGAGGTATTTTTTAATTAAGCTCATCTTCTACATTTGTCTATGTAATGGTCCTCCAAGGAAAATGGCCGAACATGCGTCATTTTGTAAGAGGCTCACAATTGAATATGAACAATGACCTGACCTTTTTTTTTTAAAAAAAAATAAAATTTCCAATGAATGAAGAAGGCGACATGCTTCTTCAAATTGGAGATGGATGCAAAAAGTAAACTGTATATATCAACATTTCAATTTCATTACAATATACATAGAAAATGATTCGATAATAGCACAACATTTGTACTGTTTAATGCCAGCACCTACCTTAATTCTCTCAACTGCGGACGAATTTGACACAAATTGAATGAAATAGCTATGAACAAAGCTATCGTTTGCGTTCAAGACCCTCTTTTTCTTTTTTTCTTTTTTTTTTTTTTCCTTTTTTCCCCCCTTTACTCTATAAGAGTGTATATTTGTGAAGTGAGCTGTACCGAGTTCGATGCTCCGGAGCTAAAATTGGTCCAAAGCTGGGGGATAGAGATGAAGTAGTTTCCCATTCACATGGACATCAATATCAAAGGACGATACTTCAATCAGCCAAAGTATATGGAAAGTCACTGTTGTTTCTATCTATTTCTGGGTAGGATTCAAACCCTAGTTGGATACATGCATGCATGCCTTCCCTGAGTGAACGAAACCCAAATAGAAACCTGTCCATTAATTTTATAAGTGCATTTGTGCTCTAGTGTCAAGTTGCAGTTGCTAGTGCTAGTAGGTAATTCCTTTCCTCTTCTATTCATCTTTATCTCACAACAAACTTGATAGATCGATGGAGACTGTACACTCCAATTTTCACATCAAACAAAAAAAAAAAAAAACTATTAACTGTGAATGATTACAATAGTACTAATATATATATGTCTATTCTGAGGGTGATAAATTGACAATATGGTATCATATCCATAAGGTAAGAGATTCGATCGGATTGAGGTGGTGAATTAAGGTAATGGATCAATAGTTTGATTCCATTCTTCAACGGTGTAAAGTACTA